AAAGAGCACCTTCACCCTTGATCCTCACATTGTGGACCAGTGGGTCAATTGGGTCCACGAGCGCACTAGCTTCGCGCGCGGCAACCTCCCATCACCTACCTTGGCGCCCCTCTATACAAGGGTCATCTTTCGCATGCGCTCTTTACACATGTCGGACAGAGGATGATTGACCGGATCTCTAGCTGGTCTCTCAGACACCTCTCCTTTAAGGGTCGACTTGATATGATCAATAGCACCTACATTAGATATTGGCTCGTTATTTTTGGGAGAATAGGGAGGGCTCCCAGAGATGGAGACATACCCATTGGGTGAAGTGGGACTCCGTTTGTCGTCCCTTCTCTGATGGCGGCATCGAGATCCAGCGCTTTCGGATGTCGTCACTGCTTTCTTTTATAAGATGTGATGGCGCTTCAGGAAGGGTAAGTCTTTTTGGGCTCAGTATCTTTATCGGAAATGACATTGAGGCACTGCTCACCCCTGTAGGGTGACGGCTACCGCCCGTGATAGTAGATAGTGGAGGCAGCTCACCATGGTTGGTAGACATGCTCAGAAGTACATACTTTGGACTCTGGGTGAGGGGGACATTAGCTTTTGGGATGAGTGGTGGTTTGGTGAGGATCCCCTTTCGAGCACTAGACGGGTTATTCACCTACCTTCTCCGCAGGTGAAGGACTGTGGACAGAGGGGGGTTGGGATAGGGATAGGTTGGAGAGGATTCTGGGTACTGGAGCGGCCTTTAGTGACCAGTTTATAGATCATATTCAGCATATACCCATCTTGGAGGACGGTTTGGACAGTAAGAGGTGGAGACTTACATCTCCGGGTGCATTATCTACGACCTCGGCTTTGGGAGGAAGTACGGCTGGGTGACCGGCCTAACTTCTCTTCGGGGCCATCTGGACCGACCTGCTTACCCCGACTATCTTTGTCTTCATATGGCGCATTCTTCTGCTCCGTTTACCGATTGATACTGTGATGCAGGCGAGGGGGTTTTATTTCCCTTCGCATTGTTACTGTTGTGCTAAGACAGACGACTTTCAGACTGAGACCTTCACCCATTTTTTCTTTAAAGTGAGACTGTTAGGAGAGTGTGGGACCATTATGCCAGTTACACTCATATTTCCCTACCCACCACATATAACTTCTTTGACCTCCTGATTTTTTTCGCACAGAGCACGCACGATTGACACGTGGGCTTCATTATTGCTTGTCTGATCCTTTGGTCCATCTAGACAAAAAGAAATAATGCGAAGCATAGAAATATTTGTTTGGTGTGTTCCCATATTATTTTCCAGGTAGACCGACACTTTCTCTTCTCACCGCTCTGGGTAGACTCATCCCTAGAGACTGGATGTGTTGCTCGCCACCTTACCGCTTTATACCACCTCCATCACCACAAGTCTAGCATCCACACCCTGGAGTTGTTGTTTGGCTGAAACACGAGCCTTCTTAGGTTAAGATAAACGCTGACGGATCTTTTGACCGACTTACTGGAGCCACCGGAGATGGGGGCCTGATTTGGGATCATAGCGGTGCTCTTATTACCGCTTTCCATGACCATCTTCGAGCTTTCTCGAGCTGTGACGCGAAGGTTCAGGAACTTCAGATTGGTCTTCATATTGTTGACTTAATCTCCTCTCACGTTTGGATTGAGTTGGACGTTGTCGTTGTCATTACACTCTTGACCTCGGGCCATCAGGACGCGTGGCAGATTCAGCATCCATTCATTCGTATTAGAGCCACTCTTCGGTCGATTCGCTATCGAATTTCTCACATCTTCCGCGAGAGAAACCGACCTGTTGACTTCCTTGCCTGCATCGGGACCTCCACCCCCCCAGCCGTATTCTTCATCCTGACGATGTTCGTCTCCGTCTCTGTACCCTTATACGGATGGACCATATGGGGTACCCATCGTTCAGATTTTCGTAGTCACCCCCATTTTTTGGTGCTTCTGCTCACTCGTGGTAATGCCTTTTCAGCTGGACTTTTCTTTGACCAGACTGTGATATTTTTGTGTCATTTGCTCTGTTCCTGATTGTATATCGTTTGTTTGGATTGTTGTATCTTGGACTTTAGAC